TCATCAACTTATACTGCACATTAAATGAGTAAATACATGTTAATATGTTAAATGAATTAATACTTTAAATACTGCCTGGCAGAGAATAAGCACTCAATAACCAAATTGTTATTACTGTATCTTATTAACTAAGATGAATGGTTTTCTGTGCTCTCATGAATAAGAACTCTTGTCAGACACCATAATCATGGCATTCCGCTCTTTTTTTTTTTTTTTTTTTTTTACAAATAGTTTATTGTCAAATTAGTTTCCACATAACACTCAGTGCTCATCCCCATAAGAGTCCTCCTCCATGCCCATCCCTCCTCCCCCCCACATCCATCAGTCCTCAGTTTTTGTCAGCATTCAAGAGTCTCTCATGGTTTGCCTCTCTCCCTTTCCCCCACCATTTCCGCCCTTCTTCTCCCCCTTGTTCCTCCGTCAAGTTCCTCCTAATCCTCCTATACGTGCAAACATATGATATTTGTCCTTCTCTGCCTGACTTATTTCACTCAGCATAACACCCTCAAGGTCCATCCATGTTGCTACACATGGCCAGATTTCATTGTTTCTCATGGCCATGTAATATTCCATGGTATAGATAAACCACATCTTCTTGATCCATTCATCTGTTGATGGGCACTTAGGCTCTTTCCATGTTTTAACTATTGTGGAGAGTGCTGCTATGAACATTGGGGTCCATGTGCTCCTATGCCTCAGCATGTCTGTATCCCTTGGGTAAATTCCTAGCAGTGCTATTGCTGGGTCCTAGGGGAGTTCTATTGTTAGTTTCCTGAGGAACCTCCACACTGTTTTCCAGAGGGGCTGTACCAGTTTACATTCCCACCAACGGTGTAGGAGGGCGCCCGTTTCTCCACATCCTCGCCAGCATCTAGAGTTCTCTGATTCGCTCATTTTAGCCACTCTGACTGGCGTGAGGTGGTATCTCAGTGTGGCTTTGATTTGTATTTCCCTGATGAGGAGGGATGCTGAGCATCGTTTCATGTGTCTGTTGGCCATCTGGATGTCCTCTTTGGAGACGTGTCTGTTCATGTCTTCTGCCCATTTCTTCGCTGGGTTGTTTGTTTTTCGGGCGTGTAGTTTGGTGAGTTCCTTATAGATTCTGGATATTAACCCTTTATCTGATATGTCATTTGCAACTATCTTTTCCCATTCCGTTGGTTGCCTATTAATTTTCTGGCTTGTTTCCTTGGCTGTGCAGAAGCTTTTAATCTTGATGAGGTCCCAACAGTTTATTTTTGTTCTTGATTCCCTTGCTTTTGGGGATGTGTCAAGTAAGAAGTTGCTGCGGTGGAGGTCAAGGAGGTTGTTTCCTGCTTTCTCCTCTAGGGTGTTGATAGTTTCCTGTCTCACGTTCAGGTCCTTTATCCATTTTGAGTTGACTTTTGTGCATGGTGTGAGAAAATGATCTAGTTTCATTCTTCTGCATGTTGCTGTCCAGTTCTCCCAACACCATCTGTTAAAAAGGCTGTCTTTTTTCCATTGGATATTCTTTCCTGCTTTGTCAAAGATCAGTTGGCTGTATACTTTTGGGTCCACTTCTGAGTTCTCAATTCTGTTCCATTGGTCTATGTGTCTGTTTTTGTGCCAATACCATACTGTCTTGATGATGACAGCTTTGTAGTAGAGGCTAAAGTCTGGGATGGTGATACCTCCCGTTTTGGTTTTATTTTTCAGTATTACTTTGGCTATTCGGGGTCTTTTGTAGTTCCATACAAATTTTTGGATAGTTTGTTCTAGTTTTGAGAAGTATGCTGGTGCAATTTTGATTGGAATTGCATTGAATGTGTAGAGTGCTTTAGGTAGTAATGACATCTTAACTATATTTATTCTTCCTATCCATGTCTGCTCATTTTTTAATCCTGTGAAGGAAAAGGGTGGACACATCTGATTCTAAGCTGACACACACACACAAAAATAGGCTCTGTTCTTTTATGGGTAAAACTGTAGGGTGAAACAAGAAAAATTCTGTCTAACAACTTTTATTATATAATGTGTGAGTGAAAGGACCTGGTATAATGAGAGTCTCATGCGTGTTACTTAGAGTAGGTTAGCTCCCTCCCTTCTTTGCAGAAGTGCTGTGAGGTTGGTGATGGTGTCTACAACTTTACAACTGAAGTTGTTGAAGACCAGAGTAGGAGAGGTGGTGGGAAGGTGCACTGTGTCCCTGAGGAGCCCTGTTATGTGTGGGGTAAAGTGCTAGGTAGGCACTTTGACCCAGAATGCTCAGCATATTGATTCTATGACACAGTTAGGCCTGTTTAGGGTTAAAGAAACTAGGGCCTAAAGATGAGAATATTTGCTCAGTCGCCAAGTAGATTGTAGCAGAGACAGAGCTCAGCCTCCAAAGCAACACTTGTTATTGCCACAGCAGTAGTCTGTTTTTTCCAAATACCAACCACAATCAGATATCGTGAACCAGTCAGTTCTCTACTGCTGGAGATAAATAAGTAGCAAGCCACCAATCCTTACTTCTAACTTGGAGCATTTAATATGACATCTGGGTACAGACTGTGTCTCTTTTCTCTTAATTTTGATACGTGTTCTTCCATTCACCTTAGATTTATGTTTCATTTTAATGGGGTTCTCTGCAGCCCACATTTTCCTGTTTAAAATTTTCCTCTGACAAGTCATTGTGTATAAATGTAATAACAGGTATTAGTTGTGACAACTGCATTGAAATAATTTTTATGACAAAATTACTTCTAAATTATTTTTTGGTAGTGCATGGATTTTCAGGTTAGTATTGTATAATTTATACACGGAATTGGATTATTCTGTCTGTCATTTAAAAACAGGGGAATGGGAGACAGAAGGAAAAGATAAAGTAGATTAATTTAGAGAGGTTACAGTCATATAACCAGAATAGTTTTTTCTCTCTATGTAAAATACCACTTTAATTATGTTACTTCTCAGTACAGAACTATAATGCTCCAGTCCCTTTAAAGTGCAAACTATTTATGTTGTCTTCAAGTTCACTGTGTACATGGCCACATAGCTTCCCTCAACAGCTCTGTGCACGATGTGCAGTGTATCGAGTTTGCTTCGGATGTTTCCACCTCTTTCTTTTCATGCAATTCCCTTCCATTGCAATTCTCCACACTCCTGACTTCCTGTGTCCTATTCTCCAAGTCTCCCTTTCATGAAGAGCCTTTCTTGCCATTTCTCTCCTCTAAACTCTTACTTACTTAGCATAGCCACCACTTACATTATATTAGAGATTATTAGTAAATCCTGTGGTGTTTTTTTTTTTTTCTTTAGAAAGGTAAAACAAAAATCAGAGAAGTAGGTGATGTGACATGGCACATTTCTGATTGAGCTCATTAAGAGCCAGGCTTAGTTTAATTGAGCAAGTAGGTATTGGAGTCTTACAGTATGGAAATCGTGGTACTAAGACCATCTGGGGTGCCAAGTGAATTAGATAATCCGTATCCCTGAAAGATGATTTACATACTTTTGGAACAAGTCATGCTATCCTTAAAAGAATAAAAGGTATTGTCTGATATCTTCTAGCTCTAGAAATGACTGTCAAGGGCATTTTGCAGACTTGGGGAAAAGATTATATCAGCACTAAGGAAAGATTACAATAGTCTATTTGTCAAAAGTTTGGGAAGTTCACTTCTCTGAGAGTCCTTCCAAATGTGCATATGGGTTCATGTGCACAGAACCCATATGGGTTCATATGGGTTTGTATCCGCTTGGCTAGTCCAGAGTATCTAGATATTTGGTCAAACACTTTTGGATGTTGGTTTGAAGGTATTTTTTAGATGAGATTATCATTTAAATCAGTAGACTCTGAGCAAAGCAGATAATCCTCTATAGTATGAAGGGGCCTCATCCAATCAGCTAAAGGCCCTAACATAAAAAGATGGATTCCACCCCCAACCCCAAAAGAGAGCATTGTGACTATAGCTGCCTTCTGATTTGAACTACAGCATCAACTCTTTCCTTCGTCTCCAGCCTGCAGCAGGTTTTGGACTTGTCAGCCTCCACAACTGCAGGAATTAATTCCTTAAAAGAGTTTTTCTCTTCCCTCACTCCCCCCACCCCCACTGGTTCCGTTTCCCTGGAAAAACTCTGACTAATATGGCCAAGATCTCTTTCAGCTCTGTCTCCCTGTGATTTATGTATAAAATGGAATTTCTTCTTTGAATCCATGGATCAACCTTGTTTGTATAAAAATCTTGGTCTAAATTTATTATTTGTCGTTAGTTTGCATCCACACTGCATCGGAGAGATGAACATTTTCAAGATCCTTGATACTTATTTGGATTATAGAAAATAGCATAGGGCTTTATGACATGCTCCCTGCATTTATAATTTTTGAGTTAAATAGCACAGAAAAATAATTTTAGAATGTGTGTAATTTGCATAGACTCATTTATTTGGACTCTGAAGTCCCCCCACAACCTTTCATTCTATGCCTTCAGTTGACAGCAGTGATAGTCTATGAATTTCAATTTTTTTCCCCATAGGTCTTAATCTTCCTGCTTGTTGTGGAAAAGAAATCACTGTCTGAAGCTATTCATATGAGAAATTAGTAGCTCCTAAAATACTGCTGAAGCAAAAGGGAATTTTCCAGGCACATCTGTAGGATAATATACCCTCGTAAACAGCTTAATTCAGCCCTCCTAGACATTGTACTTTCATTGTTACTGAAAACTGACCTGAATATACTCATATTGACCAATGCCTTATGCCATGTTTCTCTCTGATTCCCTATTAATAGGGCTTAGATTCATTCACGCTTTCAACTTTATTCGCAAATACTTACCTTGTTCCTAGTAAGCACTGGAGATAAAGCATGGGTCAGATAGACAGCATGCATTTCTGGGAGGAAAAGGAGACTGTCATTACCAAATGCACCAAACTTGGAAAACTTAAGTCCAAAACTAAGAAAGAAAAAAAAACAATATATAGAATATGTGGAATTACAAAGTTGGGGAGTGTAATGACCTGTTTTCGTTCTCTTATGTCGCCCAACATTTCATGTCTTCCAGGCTTCTGTTGACCAGGGTAGCTTCCCTAACCCCCACCGATCAGGTTAGAAGACAAGACTTAGAACATTACAGGTAAGCATTTTGGACACAAAGCTTTCAAAGGAGGTATTAGTACATTTTGAGAGAGTTGTTTTAAATTACAAAAATAATTATGTGCATTATAAAAACTTCAGAAAACAGAGAATCAATTAAAAAATATAGTCTGTGGAGAAAGAACCACTATTAACACTTAATTTTGATATGCAGTGTAATTAAACATGTACATATTAAAGCAGATGCTTAATAAGTCAGATTCCTATCCTGCATTGGTATTTTGTAGTCTCTGTTACTTAAAATTATGTTGCAGATTTTTTTTTTTTTCTGTCATGAAGTCTTTTTCTCGAATATGACATTGAATGGCTGCACAGGTGCCCTAATGTAACTGATCCATGCACTCTTGCTGGACATTAACGCTTTCTCCATTTGTTGATCTCATCACTGGATCTCTGATCATTTCCTCAAGATAAATTCATAGAAGTAAAATTGTTGGATCGGAGTGAGTGCACATTTTTAGCATTCCTGATGCGTACAGCCAGGTTGTGCCGGTTTACACCGCCACGAGCACTGCACACAGACACTAAAGAGGTCGTGTTAAAAAACAAATGCAAACCAAAGGCTGGCAGGTAAGAGTGCAAAGCCCTGCCAGTCTCCCCAGCGAACACTGCTGCCTTTGGAGAAGACGGTCTCTATTCAAGTCAGAACTGGCTCTGTTGGTTGTCTTAAAGCCCATATTCTGATGAAGCACATTGGATGTTTAATGGGTTTTTACAGGCAAGATTGGGACATTCTTCCACTTCTGGCCAGTGTTAATTCAGTCAGCCAAAATCAGTTTCTTGGCACAAAGCTGCCCGAGTCAGAGACTTCGGTGCAGGTGTCTGGGCCTCTGTGTTACATGTGTATCGAGCTTGGACACCCTTCTTTTTTCTGCATTTCCTCTTTCGTTACAGGATGCAGAGAAGTGATGTCCTCGTGTTCTCTTCTCCCATGGAGGCTCTGCAATTCTGTCAGTCTTTGCCAGGAGACAGCCTATTTCCCTACTGAAAACTCCCCAGTGGCTTCCTGTGCTATTTAGAATAAAATGAGAAGCCCCCTTGATGGAAAACGTGACCTCTCGGATTTGTTCCATTTCTTCCAGCCTGTAGACCCTCTTTCTGTCTCTTGAAATTTTCAAACTCATTTGGACCTCAGAGCCTCTGCACTCACTCCTTCCTCCTATCTTCACTTCTCTGTTACACTCATTCTGATGGAAATATCTAAAAATAGTTCCCTTCTATCACGCTCATCACTATCTACTATAGTACTCAGCTTTATTTTTCTCCTTAGTGCTTGGTATTGTTTGAAACTGCATCATTCACTATTATTTTTTTCTTATTTATTGTCTGTCCCCTCTTGATGGAATATAAACTTCATCACGGCAGGGATCTCCTGTGGCTTGTTCATTGCTCTGTCCTTCTATGATTGCAACTGCTGAATATAATGAATGAATGAAGGAAAGAATGAGTAAAAGGAAAGCACTAGATATACCCAGTTCTGGGCAGGCAAGACAGTCTACTTTTCCTCAGTGTGCTCACATGAACACAGCAGGGCTTAGCTTTTAGTGAGACGTGTCCACTCAGTCTCTCTTACCCTGATCGTAGCAGAGCCCCCATTCAAACATGCATTACAAATATCTTACTCCTGTATGACTCATGCTTTCAAGACCCCACTGGAGGTGCACGGGTTAGGGATTTGAAGTCTTACTGCCACTATCAGAGGTAGCCTTCAGATAATCTTGTGCAAACTTAGCATTGTCCCAGACCCCAAGTTTACCTTACACCATGTTGAAGGAATTCAATTCACACACAATTCTTTTAGTTATTTGTTTGTTAACTTATGTGAAGGAGGTTTTACATTAATTATGCTTTTTTTTTTTTTAAATCTCATTTCGTTTACTATTTACCTATTGTACTCTCTAATTTCTTAAGTAAGATTAAGAGATATACTTTCTTGGGGTGCCTGGGTGGCTCAGTCGATTAAGTGTCTGACTTCGGTTCAGGTCATGATCTCTTGGTTCCTGGGTTCGAGCCCCACGTCCGGCTCTGTGCTGACAGCTAGCTCAGAGCCTGGAAATGCTTGGGATTCTGTGTCTCCCTCTCTCTCTGACCCTCCCCTGCTCATGCTGTCTCTCTCTCTCTCTCTTTCTCTCTCAGAAATAAATGAAAACATTTTTAAAAATTTTAAAAATATATACTTTCTCTATTAAGTATATCTTTTTTAAGTCCTAAGGAAGCTGTTTGGCACATAGACAAGCCTTCAAAACAAATTTGATTTTCTCTCCAGGAAGCTCTCTTCTTCTTTCTCTGTTTTCTTTTTCTTTTTTTTTCCAAAAAAGACGCAAAGTGAAAGAAACTGAAAAGCAAGTCAACATAATGAAGTGGGGGAGAATATTAATATCTTCCTTTTATTATTTCTTAATTGAAGAATTTGTTACCTTTCTATATTTCCATTTCCAAATTTGATTAATTGGGAAATCATCATAACAGCTGGAGAATATTCAGAAAGCACGAAATTTATATTTTGGTCTGGGTTCTGCCTGCTCATCATTGTGTGACTTTGGTAGACATCTAGAATACTGTTTTCTTGTTAAAGAAGAGGTTTTAACTTGGTGTCCTCTAAGTCTAACAGTGTCAAGGAAAAAATAATTAACTTATAAACTCGAGTTATTGTACACACAGTAGAAAAAACAACAGTCTTTCTCATTATCTCAAAAAAATAGTAACTAGAAGATCCAACTCTTGGAAATAAGAGTAATGGTCAGGAGCTCTGACAGCACTGATCCCATGGATGGCAACCTTTGGCTGGACATGAGTAGTGTCAGCTCCATCTCCATGGGTGTGTTCTCTGCATTGGGCCACGCCCATTTTTGTTTGGTTTTGCTCATTTATGGCCCTGAAGATGTGAGAATCTGCTTGTCCTTGGTGATAGGATCTCCCAGATGCCTTCTTCCTCTGACACCCAGGGGAGACCTTGCTAATTGACCCGTGGTTTTCTTCTTTTCTGCTCCATGTCACCATTTTGAGAGAGCCTGGGACTATTGTATGTTTTTTGGACTAGGGTCCACATCATGGGTAAAGACTGTCTTTTCTCAGTGCACCAGTTGAGGAGAGAAGCTTGAGAGAAAGAAATAGAAGGAAGAGTGAGGTAAGAAGTGGGGACCTGAGAGGAAATGGCAGAGTTTTGGCTTTTCTCCTTCATGTATCTGAACAAGGTCAAGTCGACTTTTACTGCATTTAATTTATAATATGGCACTCAGTTAGAATAAGGTTCAAAAATCTGAGTCCCCCTCTAATTTTGGCTGTATTAGGAACTGGAGAATGTTTAATAGCCTTATTATGAAGAGGGAGTACAAAAGGGAGCTAAAATTATATTTATGTATTTGTTTTTTTTAAAAAAATCACTTGTGTGTATGCTTTAGGGAAAGCAAGATTTCAGACAGATTTAGAAAAGATGATTACTAATCAAACGGTGGGTGGTTTTTAAAAACAAAATGGGAACAGGGGCACCTGGATGGTTCAGTTGGTTAAGCATCTGACTTCGGCTTAGGTCATGAACTGATGGTTCATGGGTTCAAGACCTATGACAGGGCTCTGTGCTGACAGCTCAGAGCATGGAGCCCTTCCCTGGCTCATACTCTGTCTGTCTGTCTCTTTCTCAAAAATAAATAAACATTAAAAAAAGTAACATCTTTTATTTATAAATAAATAAATACGTATATACATACATACGTACATACATACATACATACAAATTGGGAGTAATGATCTGGACTGGCCAGACTTGAGAGAAAACTGGCAAAGACACATTATGCTACACTATCCCAGCAGCAGGAATGTGCTAATGGCGAAATGAGAATGTCTGAAAGGAAATGAGGGTCTTATCAGAGGAACCAAGAAGATTTCATTTTTGTGTTCCCCAAGGTAATCGGCATCATCTCTGACTGATGACGAAGGACCGCTTAACATACACCCTGAGGAATCACTGCTAGCGTGCTCTTTGGCCCAAACTCACGTGGACTACATGACAAAGACATAATTTTGCCCTGATTCTTAAAAGAACAGGAAAACACTGATGCAATCCATTTGTTGAATTCTAGAAAACCTTTCCCTGAAGTCTGTTTTTACACTGCCAAACTGAGAAGGGATGTCTGAAGGAGTAATTAAAGCCTTGAAACATGAAAGAAAGAGAAAATCTTATTGCAGTCTGGGGACTTAGTGAGAATAATAGGAGCCAAGGGAAATTTAGATGGGCAGACACAATTCGGTGAGCAAGTATCTGTCAATATTGTACAAGATGTTGAAAGTTGATGCTGGTGACAGCCAGTCAGCTCCAGTTTACCTTTGCACAGTCTATGCTAAGCAAATAAGTATTTTAAACAAGATTGCCAGAGGCAAAGTAAGGTCTGCACAAGAGAACAGACTGAGAGTTTGGGCTGTTCCCTGTTGATTATAGATTGGTGTAGGTAACGCATTAAAGCCCTTTCCTTAGAGCTTCTACATTTGGCACAGTTATATAGAGTTATTGTTTGTTATGACCTGAATATGTAAACTATTTTTATTTTATTTTTATTATTTTTAAATATTTATTTCGAGAGAGAGAGATAGACAGTGAGTGGGGAGGGACAGAGAGAGAGGGAGACAGAGACTCCCAAGCAGGCTCCACGCTGTCCACAGAGAGCCCATCTGGAGCTCCAACTCATGAACTAACTATGAGATCATGACCTGAGCCAAAATCAGGAGTTGGACGCTCAGCCAAATGAGCCACTCATATACTCGTGTAAACTATGTATTTTAAAATTACTGTTCCATAATGCTAATTTGAAGGTGTATATGTGTGTGTGTGTGTGTGTGTGTATGTGTGTGTGTATATATAAATATATATATAAAATTCTGTATGCAGCCTCAACTGGACATAGTCAAGACTGAAGTCATTCTTTGCTTTTCCTTCTGCTTCACTGCTTGATCTGTTTACCTCATCTCTTCACTGGCCCTTCCCCT